TTGGCCATCTGCGTTCTCTCCGCCAGTGCTGCCCACAAGAACGTTCTGCAGTGAGGGACGTGTTCTCCCCACGTCCCTCACTGCACTGTCCAGGAGGGTTGCCATTAACTGATTAACTATTTGTGGGTACTGAGAACTTGACATATGTCCAGTGTGCCTAAGGAATTGACTGCTTTTAAATTAATTTACATATATATATAAATAGCCACCTGTGTCTAGTGGCTCTTACAGTGGACAGCCACCCCTCGATTACAAACCCAGCGGGTCCAGAAAGGCAGTGTCACATTAGACCCAGTTCCACTTGCCTCTACTTCTCCCATGACCCAGAAGTACTCGGTCTGACTCCTCAAAAATCATCCTAATGAGGCATATATAGGAGCTGTGCATGAGTACAGCCTAATTAGCCCCAAAATGATTATGAACATTGTTAAATCTAAGTGCCAGAGAGTTTTGCTGTCAGTTTAAGCTGATTACAACGCACAAATCTATTCATGATTGCTCACCCTCCTCCTCTTTCATTTTCCCAGCTCTCTGAGGAATTTATCATCTAGACGGGGAGACACAACATACATTCGATTTTAAATTGAGGAGTACCCCATCCATGCCTGTATATGTGTATACGTTTAATTAATGTCCCCCCCGCCCCCATTTGGTCTGTATGCTCTGGGGCTTTAGCTCTGAGCTTCACATGCAGGAAAAAGAGAAAAAGAACAGGAGATAGCTGCCATTTTGACATGGGCAGGCTCCCAGCTGGGGCCCACGGAAGACCTTTCATTCTGCCCTGTTTCTTGGACAAGGATGATCTCTTATTACTGACTCAGAAATGTCAGATGGGGCCAAGGGTGAGAGCACATGGCTGTAGCTGGGCAAGTTCATGACCACTTTGCAAAAAATGACTGAACACGCATGCCCTCCAGACAAAGAGTCATCCACGCCATCTTGTCATCTGAGGGCCAGCCCTTACCAAATCCAGCTGAGCCACCAAATGCAACTGAAATTGAATTCAACACAATTTGAAACTATCCTGTTTACTTAAAGCCCAGAAGCCTCCCGTGAGAAGAAGAATCCAGGGACAGGCGATGTAGTTAAATTTGTACATTTTTCTTTCTTGTTGCAATTTTATCTCTTCCAAGCAATTTAATGAAGACTCCAGAGGGAAGAATTAAATGTCTGCTGCTTCAATTACCAAATAATGAAAAGGTCGAAAGGACCACCATGCACTGTATGCTGAGCTGCTATAAAAGCCTATTCTTAGAGTGAATCTCTTTTGTGGGCTGTTCACACTCGCATTTTGCCACCCACAAATTGTACAGAAGAGTGTCAGTGTGAGAAGCAGAAACCAAGAGCTGGTACAGATCGTCAGCACCGGTGTGGAAGGGCCTTAGCCCTCAGGGGACATCTCGTGACGCCCACGGCGGCAGTGAGGGGCACGGGCAGGCCACGATTTTCATCAAGAGGGGCCAGGCTGTCATGAAATTCGCACTTTGAGAAGACTGTAATCATCCCTGGTTCTGAATGCATTTTTAACTAGCTTGTCCTCAGGGCTACATCCAGGGAAGTCCTCCCGGGCAAAAGAAACTTACCAGCCAGAATTTCCAGCACGCCTTGCAATCCTCACAGCATTTGGAAAGCTGCCCTGCCCCCAACCCGCCCCCATCTGTACACAGAAAAGAAAAACACAGCAACACAGGCTTCCTCTGCAGAAGCTAAAACCAAAGACAAAACCATACCATAGTGCTTTGGAATTCATCAGAACATTGATTTTTAAAGCTTTAAAAAACCAAGTCTTTCTGGAAATACTACACAAGCAGTTAGGTATAGGGTCTTCTCGCCTCCATGCTTGCAGCAGTAGTCTCTCCGCTCACACTGGGGTCTCCCCGACACCTTTTGATTGGCGGACAAGTCATTGAACAGCTTCTTTTTCACCTTAAAATAGGTTCTTTTTTTTTTTTTTGGTTACATCAGAGAATAGCCTCATTCTTAGGACATACACACTGGACTGTTTAAGAATAAAAGGTTACACCGTATACAACTGACTCAGAAAAAAATGTGTTTGTGTCTCTGTCACTACTCACACATATGGAAATATGTCTGTGTGTGTGGTGATGGGGGAGCAAGAGTGAACGATAAAGCAAGTGGGGTAATACGTGAACAACAGGGGGATCTGGGTAAAGAGAATTTGGGTGGCCTTTGAAATAGTTTTTATTTTTATAACTTATCTATAAGTTTGAAATTATTTCCAAGTTTCAGATAGTTTAATAGTTTAAGAAGTTTTAAATACTTTTAAAAGTTTTAAATGTTATGTTAGTTCTCTTTTCTTCTCTGTATTGGCTTCCTGCTAGAGGCCTTTATAATTGTACAGCGGCCACACCCTGGGTCAAAGTGTCCACGAGGGGAGCCCCACTCTGCACGATCCTGCTGATGTGTTTAATCAGAATGTGGATGCTCCAGGAGAAACCAGTCACACAGACAGTTCCAGCACGGCTCCTCCCATGGTGTGCTGGTGATTGCTGAGAGTTTTTGCTGGGGATGGAGACAGGATAAGGGCTAGGGAATGCAAGAACCTCTCTATGATTAGAGATGTTCCTCTGTTCTTCCTCTCTTCCCTTAAAATACCTACAGTCAATAATACTAGATGTTTATAGTTTAAAAAATAAATATTTAATGTGTCACAAACCACATCAATTTGTATGAGAAAACAAACTATATGAGAAAAAGGAAATCCCTAAATTATGCCACTCTTTTTTGTGGGGGGGGGGCAAGAAATGTCTGATACAAGACAATAAGATTAGATTCTTACTAGAACAGAAGCTCTCTGAATACAGAACTGACTTTAATCATACTGTTTCTCCTATATTCCCCAGCCAACAGAATCAGGGTACAACAGAATGCAGACGTGATAAAATGAATAAGCAGCACCTGAGACAAAGTTCTGCACTCAACTCCTCATCTTTAAGAATACATTTTAGGATTCATTAAAATCTAGGAGACATTTTTATCTGTGGGGTTATCTCTATATAAGTTTATATTCTCCTCTTCTCTTTTATTTAGAATTCCATAGTTACAGTTTCCTAGGACCACAGAGAAAGAGAAAAGGTCAGGTACAAACTGGGAGAGGATATTTTCCACATGTAAAACCAAATAGGATTAATATCCAAATACAGAAATCATTCCTACAAATGAATTCAGATTAGAAAAACAATTCAAAAGAAAAGTCGTAAAAAAACTTTGACAGGCATTTCCAGAAGACATGGGCAAACACCGCAAAGAGGCTCAGTCATTAGAAAGCAGGAGCACAAATTAAAACCACCAATATCCTGTCATAAATACAGATCGGCAAGATCCAAAGCCTGACAATATCAAGTGCTAACAAAGCTGCATGACAATGTCATTCTCATTGACTTCTGGAGGGAGGGAAAATGGGTACAACCACCCTGGAAAACAATCTCACATAACAGAGCAGAACTGAAGGCAAGTGTGCCCCATGATCCAACAATTGTGCTGTTGCATATGTGCTGAGAAACTCCAGCAAACAGACAGTGGGGAGTACATGCAAGCGGATTCATAGTAACAACACTTTTACAATGGAAGCCATCTCAAGTCTGCCAGCAGCACAGGGAACCAGCCGCTTGCAGCATTTCATACAATATAACACAGTCCCACATTGAAGATGAATGAAGAACAGCTGTACGCATCAACAAAATGAACCTCAAGAACATAATGCTGGGTTCAAAAAAAGCCTATTGCAGAAGAACACATATATTATGATTCCAGTTTCAGAACATTCATAAGGGTTTGTTGTTAGGGACAGAAACATATCTGGTAAAACTATAAGGAACAAAAAATGATAAACATAAATTCAAAATAGGAGTCACCTCTCTTTAGAGCAGAAAGGAGAAATGATTAGGCAGAGACACATGGACCTTTCCCGGCAGGGCCAATGGCCTGTTTCATAAAAGGAGTGTGTGTGCACATTTATTGTATTGTCATTCTTTACACTGCACATATTTAACAAATATTCTTTTGTGTACACCCACTATTTAATAAAAATGGATTTTAAAAATTGTTGAAGAAGCAAATGACCAAAAAAATTTTTATCCAAGACTTGCTGGAAAAAGGAAAATGAGCGTAATGACATGCCAGCCATGAGGCCCCGGTGGTCTTTCCTTCCAGCCCGCCTGCTCGGCTACTTGCCTGAGTTGCTCCCTGCTTCCTCAACCCAAACCAAACATTACTCAGAGCTACCACCGGTTCAACAGAAGCAGAAGCCCAGCTTTCCTCTCTCCATCATACTATCCCTCATTAAAACCCAGGCCTCCTGCACGTGTGAATGACAAACCCATCACCCTGTTCACCTGAGCACATACACATCCAAACGCGGCAGCTTGATTGGGTTATTATCATATCCAAATTCAACCAAAATCCATTACTACCTGACTCTTGACTTGGATTTATTCTCTCTTGGTACATATTTTGTAATTATAATAGAGCACTATGTTTAAAACAAAGTGTCTCCCTGTCCTCCAGTTAGAACCTAAAATCTGAAACAGCTCCTTGAAGCACAGATAGGTGTCTGTGCTCAACCATGTAGCAACAGTCCCTGAAAGCAAAAGTACAATTTAAAGTGACTGGTGCAGCTATTGTCCAAACACTACTTAAGAAAAAAATAAACCTAGTTCCAGGGAGGTTTGACTCCTCCCCTTGGTAGGTCATTAAAGGTAAGAAAACATTCATCTCCCTCAGGCCCACCTGAAACCTGGTCGATGGGGTGAAAGAAAGTTGTGTCATAGTTTCAAATTTGTGAAAATTTTTAAATAATTGTTTTCCTATTAATTACTAAAATGGGGTTGGGCTCTTTCATCAGTAACATCTTAATAAGAAAAAAGTCAAACTGGTATAAAACAATTTCTTCTAAATTACCTACTTGGAAGAGTCTATCACAAAGTCCCCTGAAGCTTACCAAAGACCTAGTGAGGAGCTGTTGTAAAAACGCCACTTACCTCGGCATATTGGGCTACGGAGCTGGCTTCAACTGCATAGACTCTCCTAGCTCCAGCCTGTACAGCAAAGAACGACAGGATTCCTGATCCACAACCAACGTCTAGAACGACCTGGAAGAAAGGAGATTGCAAAACAGGGTGAAAACACAGACAGGCGGTTGGCTGTGGGCGCCATGCCAACCTTGAGCACCGGCTTCAGACTTAATGCTAGCTTTGATATTCATTCACAAGTGGTCTTACCTCAACCAAGTTAGGAATCTCGGAGAGACTCCTTTTTCTCTTAAGCTAAACAGGGTTATTAATATCCACTTCTTAAAGTTTGCTGCAGGGATTAAGTAATATGAAGTGTACATGAAGCATGTGGCACATAATTGGGGTTTTTCAAATCATTGCTATTATTATTATAGTTTTCTTGTAGCATGGATTGCTTTTAGGATGGTTAGGGCCAAGAAAAGCAGAGTGACATGAATGAACTTGCTTACCAAATCAGTCCATGAACAAAGGGAACACTGTCTCAATAATTTTTAGAATTATATATATCATTATATATTAAATTTTATACATATATATAAAATTTTCAGAAATAACTGAAAATAACATCTTTAAAAATCCTAAGTGAGATGTCTGTTTTTTCCCACACCCCCTCCACAGAACTGGGGAGGTTTATATGGAGGCCATCAAGGCAGTGGACAGAAGGAATCTACAGAGACTTTTCCTTTATTCTCTGTGTTCAGACCTGGGACTAAAGTCAAGAAAACCATGATTCACTGGCATGAAAGGCCCAACACTTGGACCTACATGCTGACAAGCAAGAGGTGCAGAGTACATACTGGGGCCCTGTCCCCAAACACTGCTGAAGCCATGGCCTTGCCGGACCACTGAAATGTCAAGTTATTGCATTTCTGTCTCATCAGTGACTGCTATTCTTAGCATCTTTTACAACTAGCTTTGAGCAATCCATTTAGTTTGGCTGTAATTCCTTACAATAAACATAGGCATAGATAGCATTATGATGTCCACTTTATAGACAGTGAAACTGAAAATCAGAAACACTGAACAACCAGCCCAAGGTCACCTAGCAGTAAGTACAGGAGCTAAGAGTTGAATCCGGATATTTATGCCTTCCAAGCTCACGTTCCATAAAATCGTGCCCTGCTTACTTAAATTCATCTGTATAAATATGACATGCTTTTCTTTTTTAGCTTATTGATTGGCATTTTGTAATGAATGGAGATACTTATGCTAGCATAACATAATTAGCTTATGAAGTGTTTCACAGGAGAAGTAATGAATGACCTAATCTACTGAGCAGTTAGTTACCTCATTTGTTTTTCTCCAAACTGATTGTAAGGTTGGGAACCCAAATGGCAAAGATAACTAAGAAGTGGTCCCCCTGAGGCTTGGGAGGTTTGATAATTCAAAGGACTAGCTTCAATGGCATGTGAGCCTCTTTATGCTTACTTCCCTTAAGCCTTCTACATTTGCAAAAAGAATCTGTTTGCTAAAAGCATCATTAATTAGCTTAATAAGGATTTGATGTTAAGGATTTCAATGCAGGAATTGTTTCACCAATATTAAAAATGTAAATATGATATTTTAACACAGAATACCATTAGGCAATGTTTGACAATGAGACAAAATACTACTTTTTTGTAGGAAAACTTGGGGAAGGTGTTTTTTTTAAAATTTTGATAGCAGCAAAATTTTTCCAAAAATTAGGAAATCTCAAGAGGGTGTGTGTACGTGTGTGCGTGTGTGCGTTAACTGCAACACCACACCGTGCTGACACAGATCCTGTGCCATTATTTTAAGAGAACATGCTGTTAGTAATGGGTTCACAGTGCTCGCTTGTATTAATTCTAGAGCTGTGACTGTATTCCATATGGTTTCCTAGGGTTTGGGTAATTAGGAGCATTACCAATTTAAATGTCACCCAGTCTCCGGAATTTTCTCTCAGGCTGTCTATACTTTTAGCGATACCAATATTCATGTCTCCTCATCCTCCCCAGGAAGTGCACCATCTTCCCTGGTCCACTGCAAGAACACCTGTGAGTGCTATGTAGGGAGTGGAAGCTGTTAAGTTGGAGGTCATAATCCATGACTATCAAAAAAGATGCATCCAGAAAAACCTTCCCAGAGCCTTCTTCAATTAAAAATATTAACACCTCAGATTCCATGTTCAATACAAAACATGGATATAAAATTAAGAGATGGCAGATACTGCATGTGCTCGGTCTGGTGACGGTGCCCTAGAAGGGGTGAAAGGAGCTCTTGGTCCCTTTCCTTTGGGTATCAAGAGGCACATCTTAGAGCAGCTGTTTTTCAGTACTCTTGATCCTACAGACTAAAACCAAAGAAATTTTTGCCACCAGGCCAGAGACACAGGAGAAAGGGAATGGGGTAAAAGAGAAAAGGGACAGAGACGGGAGGGACCCTGATATGGTTCAGCTTTTGGCAAATTAGTTCATTAGGTAGAAGGATGCTTTGATAGGCTTAGATGTTACCTACAGGTGGAAATTTACAAACTGAGGCAATTTCCAAATACCTTATGTCTATCTAATTTCAAGCCAAATTAACCTTGTTTGTCTTTTTAAGAAACTTTTTCAAGGCATAAGCCCTGAAAAAGAATCTGATCTTTTGCTAGTATTATCCAGATGAGGCCAGCTACTCCAACCTGTGTGTATATTTAAAAAGTTAATACGTGAATGTTCAGTCTAGGGCTGGTGGGAGAGGGTCAAGAGGGGGAGGGACATTTTGCCTTCTCTATGTAAGCCATGCAGTAACAGAAGTAAAGCTGTGGAAGGCTGAGAACAGATTTTCTGGTGAAAAACTAATGACCAAAACAAGCATTCAGGCTTTAATGGAAATACACTACTTTATGCCCTGGCTGGTGTAGCTCAGTGGATTGAGCACGTGCTGCGAACCAAAGTGTCGCAGGTTCGATTCCCAGCCAGGGCACGTGTCTGGGTTGCAGGCCATGGCCCCCAGCAACCACACATTGATGTTTTTCTCTCTCTCCCTTTCTCCATCCCTTCCCTCTCTAAAAATAAATAAATAAATCTTTAAAAAATTAAAAAAAAAAAGAAATATACTACCTCAGCCCTTTCTAGCTGGTGTTTCCAAGACTGGGAAGTAAGGGAAAATTAACACAGAAAATTGTTACTTTCTTGCATGACATCAAAGGAAGCCTTGTAACTACCTCTAGTCACATTTTCTTGTCCTCACAGAAGATTATATTGAGCCCATTTTTTATTGTACCGTTTGTAGACCATCACAGAACTGGGTATGTGTAAGGACCTTGGCAGACATGATGTTATACATTCTCACCCTAGGGAAAAATATCTCCCCTCCGTCAGAGGCGAAAGAGAGAAATAAAATTGCCTTGAAACTGTAAAGCAGTTTCCAGTTTCCAAAGGACACTCCGCTGACACTATCTGTTTGATCTTCATGCCTCCCTGGGATGGAGAGCACACAGTTGAGTCCCATTTGTTGATAAGGAAACTGAGCCTTAGACTGTTTTCAGCCCAAGGCAACAAGGCTGGTAAGTGGCAGAGATGGAATGAGAAACCAGTGCTCAACAATCTGCACCATCATGGCTCGCTTTTTGTGTAGGGGAGAGAGAGACAGACAGAGACACACAGAGAGACAGAGAGAGATAAACTGTGAAGATATATAAATATAATCATATCACCCTTGGGTAACCACCTCCAATGGTTCCATGCAGCTGGAGAAGAAGGTCCGGGTTTCTTTGGTGTGTCATTTTTAGGCCTCAGCAATCCAGCAATGACTGGCTTTTTTGGCCTCTTTTTCTGTAATTCTCTTCTTCCTTCCTCCCCACACTCTCTAGGTTCAGCAATCCGGTCCTTTTGGCTGATTCTAGGCTCCCACATGTGCAGTCCCCCATGGTAGAGGCAGCTAACAGACTACCAAAAGCTTCATGCTCTATTAGAGCAGAGTTGTTGGGATGCAGTTGCCCAGCTGAGACTACATGCCCCACCCCCCTGCATCTACATATGGCCACTAGTTCTCACCAATGGAATGTGAGGGGAACTGATGAGTGTCACATCTGGGCCAAGGCAGTTGAGGGTTTTGGGAACCTTCCCCATGCTCTCTGCTGGGCACTGGAAATCACATGTTGGATTTGAAAAAAGCCTGAATCCCTGCACCAACATTTTGGGAAGAGCTACTCAGAACACACTGGACATGGCGTGAGCAAGATTTAAATTTTGTTATGTTAAACCACTGAGATTTAGGAATCATTTGTTTTAGTAGCTGGCATATACTGACAAATACATTCCCTTTGGGTAAATACGTCTCATTTTTCTACCTGGAGAACTGAAGACCCAGCTCAAACAGCACATCTCGGGGGTACTTTACCTCACGTCCCCGGTCGGTCTACGCTGGGCTCTCCTGTACCTGGGACATAGCTCTCCAGTAGCACTTATGATAGGATATGGCAAATATTTCTTTACATGTTTACCTTCTCTGCTTAGCCTTTGAGCTCTTCAAAGACAAGAATCACATCATTGATTTCTTAACACCCAGTGCACTGGGAAACCTAAAACGCATTAATAAATGTCTGTTGACTAAATGACTGAATGGGATGGCTCAATATGGCAGTTTCCTACTTCCAAGATTACCTTGAAATGCCTATGGAAAAGGCTTATAACTTCTGCCAGCCATTTGGACTCTGGGAGTGTCCAAAGATGCCCTCAAGATGTGCTCAAGATGCCCTTGCCTTATATCCTGAACGGTTTCATCCAACCTTCTCTTCTGCTTCCTGGCCTATTTCTTATTTCTTGGCTTTCAAGTCCCTTCACAGACCTGACACTTTCTACCCTGGCTCTCTTCTTGATCTCTGTCCTTCCTCCTTGACTCTGATCCAAGCATGTCCCTTGGGTTCCTCCTCTAGTGATCCAAGGCAGCCTTCTGCCCTGACTGTGGCCATCTGGGAAGGTTCTGTGTTCCCCCCTGACACGGGAACCTAGTACATGGTGTTCCCTTTGCCTGGGGTGCTCCCCTTGCCTGGGATGCTCCCCACTGCACTATGATATCTGAGTATGGTGATTTAAAATTTTTTTTTTACCTACTCAATGCCCATTGTCTAGATT